GTTTTTTTTTTGTTAAGTTAATGAGGTCATACTAGAGTAGAATGGGTCCCAAACCTAATCAGTTCTGGGTTATAAAAAGCGGAATAAACACAGAGACAACACACAGATGTCAAGAATGCCAAGGAACGCCAAGGATTGACGGCGCTCACCAAAAACTAAGAGTGAGACCCATAGAAGGAACCAGCATAGCTGAGACCCTCATTTGGACTTTTAGCCTCCAGAACTGTGAAAAAATAAATTTCTGTTCTTTAAAGCCACCACTTGTGGTATTTCCACTACGGCAGCACTAGGTAACTAAGACACCAAGTCATTCTGGTGTTAGAACCTTGAGGTGCCTCCTGTTGCCCCCCAGTGACACCCCAGCTCCTCAGGGTGGTACACAAAACCGTGCATGACGTGGCCGTGCCTCCCTCCCAGGAAGGAGCCCTGGTAGCAGAGTGGTTAAGCACTCAAAAGGTTGTCAGTTCGAATCCACCAGCTGCTCCTGGCGGTCTGCTTCCATAAAGATTGCAGTCTTGGAAACCCTATAGGACAGTTCTACTCTGCCCTGTAGGGTCACTATGAGTCAGAATCGACAGCAACAGGTTCCCTCCCAGGGTCATCGCACTCCCTTGCCCCCTTCCCAACCAGTACATCTTTTTAGTCCTTGATATCACCGTGTGTTCTCGCCTTCAAGTGTCACCGCTTCCTCAGGGCCTATCTTAGTTATCTAGTGCTGCTGTAACAGAAATAGCACAAGTAGGTGGCTTTTAACAAACAGAAATTTATTTTCTCCGTTTAAGAGACTAGAAGTCTGAACTCAGGGCGCCAGCTCTAGGGGAAGGCTTTCTATCTCTGCGGGCTCTGGGAGAAGGTCCTTATACCTTGGCTCCTTGGTGATCTTCATGTGGCACATCATCTGTCTTCCCCCATCTCGGCTTGCTCGCTTGCTTGTTTAATCTCTTTATATTGCAAAAGAAATTGACTTAAGACACACGCTACACTAATACTGTCTCATTAACATAACAAAGAAAACCCATTCCCAAATGGCATTATAACCACAGGTATAGGGGTTAAGATTTACAACATATATCTTCAGGGGACACAATTCAATCCATAATAAAGTCTGACTAGCTTCTCTACCTCATCAAAAAGCATCTGTCTACAGCAAGACCTTCCTGACCACTCATTCCGGGTTAGACTGCACTCTTGCAATTCCCTGTTCTTCTCCCAGGTGACACTTAGTTCTATTCTAATAAAAATTTTTGTGTTCGTTTTCTGTTTAATGCCTGACTGCCCCACTAGAATTATAAACTCCAATAATTCAGGAACATTACATATCTCAGGGATTGGAAACTCTTCCTGTAAAGGACCAGATAGTAAATATTTCAGACTTTGGGAGCCCTCCAGTCTCTATTGCAACTATTCAACTTTTCCATTGTAGTGTGAAAGCTGCTGCAGACAAGATGTAAATGAATGAGCATGGCTATGTTCCAATAAAACTTTATTTACAAAAACAGATGGCTGGCCCTTGACTCCTGAGCCATATTTGCCCAGCTCTGGTCTATATCAGGATCCCTGGTGGCAAAATGGTTAAGAGCTTCGCTGCTAACCAAAAGGTCGGCAGTTCCAATACACCAGCTGCTCCTTGGAAACCTTATGGGGCAATTCTACTCTGTCCTGTAGGGTTGCTATGAGTCAGAATGGACTCAACTGCAATAGGTTTGGTTTGGTTTTGGGGTCTTTATTAATGGCTGCTGTACTCAGAGCTTATAGTTTTACAGCACTTATTAGGTACCAGGCACTGTTCTGAGTGCTTTTTATGTATTCATTCATTTAATCTTTTCAACAGCTCTGTGGGGTGGATGCTATTAGTACCCCCATTTACAATTGAGGAGACTGAAGCACAGAGAGCTCAAGGTAACTTACCAAGGACACACGCCGCTTAGTTAAATTTGTACCTAGACAGTCTGACTCCAATATGCTCTTAACTCTCTCGATTGTTGAATGAATGAGCAAATGAGTTGACTGGGATATGAAGGCCTTAGAAAAGTATAAAAGGCTACAGACGTTCATTGTTGTTGTTACACAGAGAAAGAAACAGACTTCTTGCAGCACGTCTCCCTTCAGTTGGAACTTCTTAGTTGGGCCAAGTTGCAGCTTAAGCCAGGATACCAAGTACAATCCCTTCCCCCCAGATCTTCACCCCCGAAGTCTACAATGTCCATAGGCAGGGCAATGGCTTTGGGGTTTTTGTTTTGTTTTTTTGGTTTATTAGAAACGAGGAACCCAGTAGGTTATATGGGATTCCCACTCTACGATGGCAATTTTTGCTTAATTGTCTCCACCTTTGCTCAGTCGCTGAGAGGCAGCAGAGTAAGAGGGTTAAGCCATTGGGCTTTTTAGTTAGACAGAGCAGATTCAAATCCAGCTTCCTCCACCTGCTTGACCTTGGACTACTTCCTAAATCTTCCAAGGCTCAGTTTTTACATCTGTAAACTGAGGGTAGAAACGGTACCTCTCATTTAGGATGGCTGTGATAATTCAATGACATTAAGAATGGTTGTTATTATCTTGATACTTGTGATATAGGAAGCAGCCTGGGGCAGTAAAAAGAGTGCAGTCTTTGGAGTCAGATAAAACCGAATTTAAACTATGTGTCTGCTCCTTATTAGCGCTGTGACTGTATGCATGTCACTTAATCCAGTGGGTCATATGTCATATAAATTTCCAAGAACATTTTGGGAAATTGGTATAGGTTGTCAAACTCCCCTCCCCCCAATATAAGGACAATAATTTTTTAAATAGCTAACACTATCACCATTGTTTTATAAAAGAAAGGACATTTTAATAACCATCTCCTCCCCCTCAAAAAGTAAGAAAGATCGGGGTCTTCGTTTCCCTCATTCACTCATTTCCAGTGTTTGGAAACTGACACTCTCCCTAAGCCTCATTTTTCTCATCTGCAAAATGGAATAATAACCCACACCCATGCACACATACATTGATCCATCCATTGTGTCTGGCACATAGTAGAGATGGAGGAGCTGTTAGTCCCCTCCCCTGGTCTTCCTCTTGAACTGGTTTTCCCCTCATTCCATCTGCTCCCACCCAATTCCCTTCCCTCCTCTCTTGACCCTCCTGGGGGCTGGGGGTGGGGGTACCAGGAAGAACAATTGCATCCGCTCTCTCAAAGGACTTTATTGTGGGTGGGATGACATGCACAGGCCATAGCCTGGATGGGAAGGACCAAGAAGGGAGAAAACTCACTCCATCCCGGAAAATTTAGGGACTGTGTTGGGGTGGGAGCTGTTCTCCATGCAGGTCTTTGGAGCTTTCTCCTCCAGGCAGGAACGGGGAGGGGCCCGCTGAAGGGCAAGGTCTGAGGGAGGAGATTTTACTATCTCTGGAGACAAAAGGACTTTTGTGTGTTATGATCTTGGGGTGGGGTAGAGTAGGGTGGAGGGAGGAAACTGTCTGTGGGAATGAGAATGAGATTCTGTAGGAAAAACAGAAGTAGAGAGAGAGAAATCAGACACGGATACAAAGACTGTTGTTGTTAGGTGCTGTCCAGTCGGTTCCGACGCGTAGCTACAGAAAAAAAAAACGATGTCCTGCGCCATCCTCACAATCGTTATGCTTGAGCCCATCATTGCAGCTACTGTGTCAGTTCATCTCATTGAGGGTCTTCCTCTTTTTGCTGACCCTCTCCTTCACCAAGCATGATGTCCTTCTCCAGGGACTGGTCCCTCCTGATAACATATCAAAGTACTTGAGATGAAGTCTCATCATCTTTGCTTCTAAGGAGCATTCTGGCTGTACTTCTTCCCAAACAGATTTGTTTGTTCTTCTGACAGTCCGTGGTATGTTCAATATTCTTTGCCTACTCCATAATTCAAAGGCATCAATTCTTCTTCAGTCTTGCTTATACAAAGACTAAGAAAAATAAAGAAGGATAGAGCAGAGAAGCAGATAAAAAGAAAGAACAAGTCAGAGAAGCAGAGTGATGTGGAAACAGAAAAAAACCCAGAAAGAGCACCCCCTGAGGCAACTTTGGTTTTGGCCTCTCAGTCCTGAAGCTCAGAGAGAAGAGTCAGGCAGAACAAAGAGCATCTCCAAGCCCTAGCTCCCATCTGGGCGCCATCACAAACAAGCTGTGCCGCTTGGAGTAAGTCTCATCCTGTTGCTGAGCCTTGGTATACCCATCTGTAATAAGGGGGGCCTGGAGCCTGTGGAGGAGTCCTGGAGTGGTGCAAATGGTTGAGCGTTTGGCTACTAACCAAAAGGTTGGTAGTTCAAACCCACCCAGAGATGCCTTGGAAGAAAGTCCTGGTGATCTGCTTCTGAAAGGTCCCAGCTATCAAAACCCTATGGAGCAGTTCGACTCTGACACACATAGGATGGCCGTGAGTCAGAACTGACTTGATGGCAACTGGTTTTCTTTTCGTTGTTGTTGTTTGGACTCTTTGGTGGCTCCAGTGACATGCAATTGGGGGAGGGGTTCCACATGCTAATTTCAATAATTTTTAAAAGTTTGGAGCTAAAATGTTCCCAACTCTGGGAGGCAACAGAGCATGGATCTTCAGAGGCTGCCCAGCCGCTGGTTGGCTGTCATTGAATGAATGAAGGTTTCAGGCTAAAGCTTATTTAACAAATGCCTTTCACTGGCTGGACAGTCTTTTGGGATTTAAGCTTGAGAATCAGAAAACTAACGAGCCACCACTGCTCCACCCAGCCTTGGCCTCCTAAGCACTGAGTCAATTAAAGTTGCAAGTCTCCTTTCTGGAGGGCAGAGAATAGAAAGATGGAAATGAGGAAAGAAGGAGAGCAAGGAGGTCTGTTTCTTCTGGCACATGCCTGGACATTCAGGAGATGGAATCCAAACTGGAAAATTCAGATCAATGGGTGAGCCGTACTCAAGCCCTTTTTAAAAAATAATTTCTTGGCCGTATCTTTGAGGAGTGACTCTTGGAGGTTCAGGCCCAGATGGAGGCCCGCCAGAGCCCAGGGAAAATTCAGAATCACAGGAGCTTGTTGGATTTGAGGCCAAAGAAGCACATGTTGCTACTGCAGCTGCCTCTGTAACTGGAGGGGCAGGCGGAACACGGCCTCCCCATCTTGTATGGTCCCTCCCAGATCCAGTTGCCCCTGGAAGAGACAAGGCCCCAGGGACACAGGGTTGGGGGACAGAGTACAGTTACCATGTGTACAACCTTCACACAGGCTGGGGTTCCCAAATCTCACAGTGCCACTGACTGGCTGTGTGACCTTGGGCAAATCACTTCTGTAAGCCTTGGTTTCTTCAACTGTAAAACCAAAAGAAGACCCCTCTCTCACAAGGAGGCATCGAAGATCAAATGGAGCCATATATGGAGGCACTTAGCCTTAACCAACTAGATACCATTGAGTTGATTCTGACTCATGGCGACCTCAGGTGTGGCAGAGTAAAACCGCATTCCACAGGGTTTTAAAGACTGTGATCCTTTGGAAGCAGATCACTAGGCCTTTTCTCCGAGGTACCTCTGGGTGTGTTTAAACCACCGACCTTTTGCTTAGAAGTTGTGTGCTTAACCATTTGCACCACCCAGGGACGCCGCATCCAGCACAGTGCTGGCGAATAAGTGTTGATTTTTATATTCCCCCACCCATCCGTGCAGTCAGGCAGGTCTGAGTTCTAGTTCCTCATTCTGCCACCATCTGCTAGCTGGGTAACAGAGAATAAACCACCTCTTTTCTTTTCTTTTTTCCTTTTTTTAATTTAATTTTTTATTGTTGTGTTTTAAGTGAAAGTTTACAATTCAAGTTAGTCTCTCCTACAAAAATTTATGCATACGTTGTTTTGTGACCATAGTTGCTCTCCCTATGCTGTGACAGCACACTCCTCCTTTCCACCCCTGATTTCCTGTGTCCATTCGACCAGCTCCTGACCCTCTCTGCCTTCTCATCTCACCTCCAGATAGGAGCTGCCCATTTAGTCTCTTGTATTTACTTGAGCTAAGAAGCACACTCTTCACGAGTATCATTTTATGTCCCATAGTCCAGTCCAATCTTTGTCTGAAGAGCTGGCCTCAGGAATGGTTTCAGTTTTGGGCTAACAGAGAGTCTGGGGGCCATGTCTTCCGGGGTCGCCAGTCACCACATCATTTCTTAAGACTTGTTTTTATCCTCTGAATAAAATAAATAGTGTCTGTGAAAATTATGGGAAATGCCTGATAAGAAAACACTTTATAACTTACAAGAACACTGTGAAAATGAGAGCTGGAATAACTGGATGGTGAGTATAATTCAGTCATGGGGGAACATAACCATCAAGACTTGTCATAATCACTACAGTCCATTTCATCAATGGCCTTATCCCGACTCCATCCTACCTGCTGCTGAATTAACCCCCCAAAAGAACACCACCTTCATCACATCCCTCTCCTGCTCAAGAACTTTTAGTGGCTTCCCATTGCCTCTGCAGGAGTTGGCAAAATTTTCTGATAAGGGCCAGATAGTAAATATTTTAGACCTGAAACAGTCTCTGTTGCAACTACTCAACTCTACTGTTGTATGTGAAAGCAGCCATATATAATTATAAACAAATGGGTGCTGCTGTATTCCAATAAAACTTTATTTACAAAAACAGACAGTGGGCCAGATTTGGCCTGTGGGCTTATAGAATCACATCTCTAGCTTTCAGTCAGGCATTCCGAACTGCTCTCGAAGCACATGAATCCAGCTTTCACACTTCATCTTCCCACAATCCTCTTCCCCATCCCAGCCCTCAGATTTCTCTCTTCTTCTCCTTCTTTGCCCTCTCAAGGCCTAAAATCATTCTCTCAGCTCTTCCTGGGTTCTGTCTAGTTAATCTCTTCGCTGGCTTGCAGTGTCAGTTGTCTTTGCCAGTCCCAGTGCTGTATTTCCTCACACCTTAAATGGACATTCCTTGTCGGTAGGATAGAATGCTTTTCCTCCAAAAGTGATACTTCATGACTATGATATTGAAGTCGACCAAAATGGTCACAAAAGCATGTACTTCTGGTTTCATAATAGGATTCATTTATTCATTCAGTCATACATTCATTCTTTCAACAAATACTTCCAGAGCATCTATTGAGCATCAGAATCTGTGGTCAACAGTTTTCAAAAGGTGCTCCTGGAAATCTGTGGGCAGGGAGAATGGGTGGGGGAGACATCTGGGGTGATAGAATCAAAGTATCTCTTTTGTTTAATTTAATCACTTGGGGAAAAGTTCTACTGCTTTAAAAAACAAAGGGTTAAAGTCTCTACGAGTTTTGGAGTAAAAGAGGAAGAAGGAAACCAAAGACTCAGAGAGGAAACTAGTCCACAGGACTACACAACCTCATTTACCCTGAGACCAGATGAACAAGATGGTGCCCGGCTACCACTACCAACTGTTCCGATCAGAAACACAATACAGGATCCTGATAGAAGGTGAGCAAAATGTGAAACAGAACTCAAATTCTTAAAAAGTACTGATTTACTGGACCAGTTGAGACTAGAGGACTCCCAAAGACTATTGTCCTGAGATACTCTTTAAACCTTGAACCAAAACTATTCCATGAGGTCATCTTTTAGCTAAATAACAGATTGACTCATAAAGCAAACAATATCATCTGTGAGTACTGTGCTCCTTTAAAAAATCATCTATATGAGTCAAATCGTCAACATTTACTCAAAAGCAAAGGCTAGAAAGCAAGAGGCCAGGGAAACTAGATTATTGGAAACGGAACAAGCAGAACGGAAATAATGAGAAAGCTGACACATTGTGAAAAATGTAACCTGTGTCACTGAACAAATTGTGTAGAAATTGTTAAGTGGGATCCTAATTTGCTGTGTAAACTTTTACTGAAAACAAAATATTTTAATTTCTAAAAGAAGGGTGGAAATCATTGCAGTAGAAGGATATGGGGGTGAATAGGGTTTATTTCCCACCCTCAAAGAATTTATAACCTAATTATAACCATGGCTAGCATTTATTTGGCGATCACTGTGGGGAAATCGTCATATTTTAATCCTTACAACTTTATGAGCCAGGTAGTATTAACCCTATTTTAAATGATGAGACTGAGGCCTGTAGAGATACAATGACTTATTCAAAGCCCCCAGTATTTGAGTGGTAGAGCTGGGAACGAAACTCAGATCTGGTAATAAGAATCAACAAGTATTCTGCTCTTACTGTGAGCCTACAGGCATTACCTGTGTTATCTCAATTCTCTCAACAATCCCATAAATAGGTACTGTTTTATTCCCATTTTGCAGATGAAGAAACAAAACTGAGGCATAGAGGAGCTAAATAACTAAATCATAGATTGGAATTCAGGCAGTCTTGACTCCAGAGCCTAAAATCTTAGCAATGATACTGTTACTACCCAATGCTTCAAAAATTCAATATATTAACAAACAAATGAGAACAGTCTCTTGAGTTGTTTGTCATAGAATTTGTTTTGTTGTAGTTTTTGTGTGTCTGATAAAGCTGGGCTAAAATGTGATACTTCATCTATAGATACTACCATCTGACTGATAATTAGCTTGAGAATTGGTGTTCAGGCTGCTGTAAACCAATGACTTCCAGAGTATCAGGATGGTATAGTAGACAGAAAGGAGTCCTGGAAGCACAGTGGTTAAGTGGTAACCTAAAGGTCAGTGATTTGAACCCACCAGCCACTCCACAGGAGAAAGATGTCGCAGTCAGCTTCCTTAAAGATTTACAGTCTTGGAAACCCTATGGGGCGGTTCTGCTCTGTCCTATAGGGTCGCTATGAGTCAGAATCGACTCAATGGGCAGTGGGTTTGGTTTTGGGGATAGTAGACAGAAGGAGTCCTGGTGGCAAAACAGTTAAGCACTTGGCTGCTAACAGAAATGGTTTGAACCCACCAGCTGCTCCATGAAAGAAAAGACCTGGAGATCTGCTCCCATAAAGATTTACAGCCTAGGAAATCCTACGGGACAGTTCCAATCTGTCATATAGGGTTGCTACGAGTTGGAATCGACTTGACGGCACACTACAACAGCATAATAGACAGAGTATAGGACTTAGAATCAAAAACTTGGGTTTGAAACAGCTTTACTTCTTTTTTTTTTGTTCAGCCTTACTTCTTATTGGCTGTGTAACTTTTGTAAATGACTTAACCTCTCTGAGCTACAGGTTCTTAATCTGGAAAAATATTTTCCCAGGGTCCCTCCCTTTCCTCTCTCCTTCCTTCTTGCCATCTTTCATCTCTTCATTGAGATAATAAAATGAAAATATTTTGTAAATGCGGAAGAGCTATGTGAGAATAAAGGGTGCTTATTACTGCGTGACTCTGAAATTCCAAATATCACTTGGAATTTGTACTCAGGAGCATTTGTGAGTTTGTAAGCGCTAGGCTGCTGACGGAAAAGTCGGCAGCTTGAAACCACCAGCCACTCCAAGGGAGCAAGATGTGGCAGTCTGCTTCCTTAAAGATTACGGCCTTGGAAACCCTTTGGGGCAGTTCCACTCTGTCCTACGGGGTCGCTATGAGTCGGAATGGACTCCATGGCAACAGGATTGGTTTTTGGTTTGGTACATTGGATGGGAACTTCCATTCCCCTTCCTCCATGTTTCCAAGGGACATGTATTGGAGGACCACTCCTAGCCTCTTTCTACTCTGCAGTTACCTGATTGGAGAAGCTGGGAGAAGGAGCTGAGCATGCTTTCCCTTTCTTCCCTTTGGGATCAGCCTGCCTGCAGCGGGGGTGCGTGTGTTCTCCGTTTCTCTATCTCTTGCCTTAAGCCTAGAGGGGCTGGCTCTGCACTTGCAAGAAGAAGCCTGTTGTCGTTCAGTGTTGTCTGTCACAGGATAAAAACCAAAAAACCCAAACCCGTTGCTGTCGAGTTGATTCCGACTCAGAGCGACCCTATAGGACAGAGTCATAGTGACCCTACAGGACAGAGCAGAACTGCCCCACAGAGTTTCCAAGGAGCACCTGGTGGATTCAGATTGCCAACATTTTGGCTAGCAGCCGTAGCACTTAACCACTATGCCACCAGGGTTTCCTGTCACTGGTTGGGTAGGTCCAATTCAGCAGTGAAATACTTGCAAGCTCACTTGGCTGGTGGACCTAAGCGCCACTCTCTGTATTGGCTTCATGAGTGAGTCTGGCTAGCCATCTCCCAGGCTCCTCTGTCTGTCGCCCAGTTGATTCTGGAACTTGGGTGAAGAAAAAGGATCACTAATGGACTCTATAAAGCCACCAAATTCTGTGGTATTGAGTTTACTTAAAATTGAGGAAGGAGTGGCGTCTCTGAAACACGGTGGGGAATTTTATATATGGCATGTACTTATAATGTGTGCGTGTGTGCATGTGTGCATGTGTGCATCTATGATATCTACTTATTTAACTACGAACACCTATGATATCTACTTATTTAACTACAAAGTGTGTATCTTTCTTTTCTTTGCATCCTGCTCATTCTGCCTCAGGATCCACAAACACACCCACCCCCTCCACTCTCAGGACGTTCCTTGCCGAGTGCTGGCACTTAACTTAATGGCGTAGTTGCAGACCAGATACACTGCCCGACGCCAAGTGCTGCCCCACACGTTGATGCTGCCACAGGTGTGGATGGCACAGCCCAGCGGGTGGGAGGATGCGAAGACAGATGGGAAGGCTATGAGGAGGACTCAGTTCCTTGGGGCTCCCGGACTTGGCTCAGGATGGTGCATTGGGTAAAGTCTTCCCAGGGGCTGTCTTCCTACCCCAGGACGAGGGGGCTGGAGGCATAATATTGTAATATAATCTTTATCAAACTTTTTTGACTGCAACAAACCATAAGGAATACATTTTATATTGTTACCCAGTGCACAAACACACATGCACGCACACACACGCACGCACGCGCACACACACACGGGGGCACATGCACATATGTGCATAATTGGAACAATAGTTTTATGAAACAATATTTAACCTTATCGTGTATAATAAAATATACTCCAATATTTTCTCGTATACTCTTCTATTAGTTTCCTTTTTCCTTTCTTTTCTTTTTTTTTGCTAGTGACCAGCCTTATAACTCTAATGGGTCTCAACCTATCATTTGAAAATCACTGTTGTGTTGGAGGTTAAAACACAAACTTTGGAGTCACACAGACTTGGATCAGAATCCCAATAACACTAGCTATGTAACCTTGACCAAGTCACTTAACCTCTCTGTGCCTCGGTTTCCCCATTGGTAAAATGGAGGTAATAATATCTCATGGCAGGTCAGGAGGGATGTTTGGTTCAGGCCTCACATTTCTTGTTGTTGGGTGCCACTGAGTCTATTTCAACTCATAGTGATCCCGTGTAACAGAGTAGAACTGCCCCATAGGGTTTTCTTGGCCGTAAACTTCTGGAAGCAGACCGCCAAGTCTCTCTCACAGAGTCACTGGGTTGGTTCGAACTGACAACCTTTTGGTTAGCAGCCGAATGCTTAACCATTGCACCACCAGGGCCCCTTTCACATTTCCTAGAGGGCCTCACATTGAGCTTTTTGAGATTATCTCCAAATGAGTCGCAGACACTGAAAGAAAACCTGTCATACCGCTGGATGTCTCTGTCCTGTTAAAGGAAACCCAGGTGCTACGGCTGCTAACCAAAAGGTCGGCAGTTCGAATCGACCAGGTGCTCCTTGGAAACTCTGTGGCACAGTTCTACTCTGTCCTGCAGGGTCACTATGAGTCGGAATTGACCGGACAGCAACAGGTACAGGTCCTGTTAGAACATTACATTGCATTGCACTTTTATGTGTAAGAAGTGTTAACATACCCAAATCAGCACTCAAAATATATTACAAGTTTTATAATCTTACTTTGGCAATTCTTTTTTTTTTATTTTATTGTACTTCAGGTGAAGGCTTACAGAACAAATAGTTTCTCATGAAACAGTAGTACACATACTGTTTTATGACATTGGTTAAC